AGGTTTTAGTAGTAAGAAGATTTACTTTTACATGCCCTTACTTTTCTGCTGCGGGCACGCAAAATTTATATTCAACCAATTTGGAATATACCGTAAATATACATTTATGTATATTACCGGAATATTTGTTTTGAATATACTAGGTATATTCACCTACACATATACACAATATGTACATACCTGGCATGTTCATCTGCACATATACCCAATATGTACATATATGTACATACCTAGGATATAGTTTTTATGAACTTTGATGAATATGCATGCATGTATATTCCACGAACATTCATGTTAGGAATGTTCACCTATGTATATTCCCAGGATATTCTCGCAATGTTTTATGTCATTTTTTGAACATTCTGGGATATTCATAGAATATCAAATGCTATCTGAGTTTGATTGAATCTTCAATATCCAGTATGTAAGTATATGATAAGATAACCGTGATAATACTGTTGTCACACCCAATATTCTTATTGCTCATTTATGTGTAGAAGCCAAATGAAATAATAATGGGAATTTTCTTTTGTTTTGTAGTTTTTGTTAGTAGTGCATGTTGCGTTTCGGGCACTGTGATTGCAGATGTGGTAGGTATCTGAAAGTTATAGCCAAAAGTCTACTACGTACTCTGTGGGTACAGTTTAGAGCGGCAATTAATATAGATCCCGTTGACTCCTATTTTAAGGAATACTAGTTAACTTAAGCGGCCGCTCCCAATTCAGTTCGAGACAATGGATCTATAACTTTTTGTTACAACTAAATTTTTTCCTGTTAACCATCACTTTTCAAAGCTGAAGTTATTCATCGCGAGGAAATTCATGCGACTTGAAAGTCTCCGACTTACTCAGCTTTTTGAGCAGCTAATCATTCCACCTTTCAAGTGTTGTTGCAGATATCATTACCGATAACTTAGTGATTATAGATAACTTGACTTTCAGGACGCTTCAGCTCTTGCGGAAAGTATCTTTAGACCTTCCCGCTTTACTAAGCCCTATTATAAGGCATCTGTGATTGATGGGCAGATCGTATTTGCAGATGGCCCAATTGTTATCGATAATGCACACGAGGACATGTATTTCGTGATCAGTTCCGGTGGGTATTTGACGACGAATAGCAACTAAACATGTGTATAACTCGCGTAAGCTCGAAATGTCCATTTCAGGCAACTATCCGGATTATTCACTTACTATCTCGGACTCGGACAGTTCGGACCAGAAGCTGCTGCAATTAGAGCTTATTTCAGCTGATACCATTATTCCGGATTTCGATGTAATCAGTCTGGAAGCTTTGGACGAAGATTTAGCTCCAATATCCCGTACCACAGTACTTCTGTTTAATCCTAGTATACAATCGAATATTTACAAGATGATATTCAAAGTCGACGGACATGAATACATAATCTTAGACTTTTTCTATTTCAAGTGGTTTTTAGGTTTACTCATAGTAACAGGATTGTTGATCTTACTCATTGAGCTGCACGAGATCGTTAAACACATCCGTATTTCCAGAAAAACTGGCAACTACGAACAACTGCAAACTGTATAAATTGATTATATTAATTAAAAAATATACGGAGGGCGACATGGAAAATGTTTAACTCAGGTGGAGAGTGACCGTTTTCTGTTTTCCCTTGTTGATGACCCCTATTTCCAGAGCGTTCCTCGATGAGCTGAAGTTGTACAGCTCCATTGGCTTCTGCACAGGGATTCCATTTACGTGAGTTATTATATCGCCAGCTTCTAGACCACTTCTGAAGTAATTTAGAGGGTTTTTTTTTTGTTTTGTTCAGTTATTTTGTTCCATGTGGGAAAAGTACACTTTTGTTGATTCGCGTAGGTATATTTCGCTTTACTTACTTGAAAGCAGAAGTCCCGGGTATAACTTTCCAAACTAATAGACCGTGAGTAATGTCTTTGGGCATAATTCGATTTTCTTTGCTCAACTCTACCAATAGTTCGGGTGTGATTGATATAGTGGTTAGTCCAAATAGCGCTTGTCCAATTCGATCGCCATTGCTTGCGTTCAATCGGAATTTTGAATTTTCCAGAAATTTTTTCGCATATTCTTGAACAAAATTGATTGACAATTGACAATTGACAATTTGATATACATAGGGTAATTCCGGGAGAGATGAACCACCGCCTGAGATGGACCAGTCGGGTATTTTTGACTGTACATGGTATATGAAAAATATTTCAACGATACCTCGTCAAGAAAATGCCCTGCGTCTTTCACTTAACAACCTAACCGAGAACGACTGATTTCATAGTCGCCAGAGGCGCTACAGACCATAAAGAGCTACAGAATAAATCATGACATAACCCACTGTAGGAAAATATTCTGTGGATGAATGCGATAACGCAAGTCAAATGTCAAATAAATCTTCCCCATTGTTGTTTATGGGTTTGTCAAGATGTCTGTCAATGTTGATTATTCGCTGTCATCCAAAGAAAAAGCGTATGCCGATTTTATTCATTTCTGACGATATAATCTGTGATAAGTTGTGAGGTTTCGGGCCTTATGCTTCCTGCACATACGGGATTGTGATATGTTTCCCCATGTTCTCCAATACGTAATTTGTGAATGTTTTGTTGGGTAAGTCGAAATCACTTGGCTTATTATTCAGGTGGCATTTTCATCAAGAAACAAATAAATGGAAAAGAGGATATTTTTCTCATTAGAGCTAGTTCATAGCATCGGGTTGCTCACCGCTAAAACCGGTACTTAATACCTCTGTATTATGTAGAATTACAGATTAATATTTAAACAGACCGATAGGTCGATAGCCTTTTTTAGAAATAAAGATGTTTACTACTACTACTATTTAAACAGAAACCTCTGTTCAAAATGAATAATGATATTTTCATATTTTCAGATTATCTTTTTCCTTATTTGTTTTCATAAATCGTCAATAATCT